CCAACAATAAAGCAAACCACCTGCCCCTCCGAAATCATCCCTGCATCCCTTGTCTCCTCTTCCCCAAACGTCTCTGGAATGAGACTAACCAGGGAAACATTTCAGCCTGAAAAAAGGAGTTTCCCAGCAGTAGCAAGACCCAACGCAATGGCCAAGGGGCAGCGATTCTCCATCCTGCTTGCCACAAGGAGTTCTTGCTGGACACACGCTTGCGGTCACCCAGCTTTACAGATGGTGTTGGTGTTGGAAAATGTTCTTTAATGTTTCTAAGGTTTGAAAATTAAGCTTACAGAGGTGATTACACTGGTACGTGGTTTTGTGGAGGCTGGTGTTCTTCATCGGTGACAGCAGGTGGCAGGCAATGGGAGATGAGCTGCGCCCACAGGCTGAGGTGACGTGGAGGTGAGGGAGGTTCCCCCCACGCTGGGGAGGTGAAGGCACCCGATGCACCATCAGAGCTCAAGTTCGCCAGCTCTCAGTTTAGAAAACAAAGGGGAAACGGCCAATGTGGCAAGACGTGGTGTAAACTGGGAGTATAAAACATGCATGTTGGACATGAAGCCTATCTGACATCATGGACTGTCACCTGTGAAGCAGCAACGCTACCCAAAGCTGTTGGTGGGACAGAAGTGCCAACAGCGACTGGAAATGACCCCCTTTTGTTTAAAGCTCGTATTAAATGCATTCCTCAGCAGACGCAGCCATCACCCAGCTGGAAGCCTCTCCTATCCCGAAGGTCTGGTGTGTCAGCCAAGCCGCTCTGGAGTTGAGTCATCGCTAACTCTAAAATCGAAGCGACAGGTAATTATTGTTTTGTAGACTTGATAAAACTGAAATAGCTGAGAAGTGAATATTTATCTTCAGTCTTTCATGGCAATGTCAACATCTTCGGAGCTTAAACATGTCTCTCTGGTGCTTCAGCTACCCATTCGCTCTTGGCTCACAACGCAGATGTTAAAGCACTCGTTGTGCTTCACGGGCTGTGCCAGTCACCGGCCTGGGCTCTCATACAGCAGGGAAAAGACCTGCTTAAAAAAAAAAATAGAATCATGCAATATTGCCGATGC